AAAACTCTAAGAACCTCATTATATTCTTTCCACTTTCCATTTTCCAGAAACCTGGCTTCATATTTTGTCGCCCATGCCCGATGATAAGAACTTCCTTGGGTTATTATTTCAGTAATAATCTTTGGTTCTTCCAGCTGGATTTGTATATATGGCAATTTGTCATATAGCGCAGAGCACCAGGCCTTTGAGCCGTCCAAACGTGCAAAGTGAGGGGAGTTGTCTGTACTTTTTGAAGATGATGCTGTAATTCTCTCGTTTGCAATTCGTTTATTTTGCATTCCAAGCTCATCGCTGCAACTCTCTGCAAAAAAGGGCGATGAATAAAAGAATTTGGCTCGACTCTGGTTTGTTGTAGTCAGTAGCTGAGGAACACTTTTCAATTTAACGCTCCCCAACATAACCGCTGCGTGTATCTTTTACCTCAGCTATTTTTCCATCTTCTTGCAATCGGCGCATGCTTTTGTCGTAAAGAAATTGGAAATGCAGAAATTTTAGCTGGGGAAGGGGGGAATAGTAAAATATAATATTATGAGAAATGTTGTAAAATTTAATTGGGCCACTGAGTTAATGATTTACATTGAGGGAGACATTGGTGGAGACTTGGTGTACAAAAATGGCTTCATGATATCATTTTGGTATACCAGTATCTCTTCATAAAGGCCGCATAATGCATCACACAAATTAAAGTGAATGCGACGAAACTCTGCAGCAAAGTGCTTTGACCATCGTTAGAAAACAATGACTTTCACGCTAATGTTTCCGACTGAAAAGGGGCGATAATATCCAGAATGACTGACTTTCTACACCATGTAAAATGGGAGTTTAGTTCCTTTACAAGAATACCGTATTCGGTCACCTTCGGTGGAATCTTTGAATAGGTATGTCATTTAAAGCGAGTGTATTTCATTATTAGCTCGCATTTAGTTTTTTAGCGTGCGTAAACTTCTCTTGAAATGTTATTATTTTGATAATCTCGCTAATGTCAGACTAGGCAGTGATGTGAGCCGAAAATCTTAATCCTGTTCAACTGTTGGCGCAACTACCACAAGAGCTCATAACTTCGCTTTTCTTGTCAACCGATTTTTAATCCATGTTCATCGCAAGCTTACTATATACTTAACCTAAAGTAAAGCTGAGAAAGAGTAAAGTTTAAGTCATCACATAGCAAAACAAGCCGCCTTTTTTTGTTGCCCCGCTACTTACCGTTAGATCGAAAATAGCATAAAACCACTAAAAAGTAAACAATACAAGCAGTGCAGTAAATGGTTTATACCCGGGGGTAACATGTAATAGTAGTTTGATTACTTGACACTGTTACGACTATTGCCGACAAACGAGCCGACAAAGCAACTGAACGTGCCCGTACTGGACATCAACAGAAATTGACACGACTTCTACACAACAAAGAACAGCGACGAAGTAAACCGGACGACAACTGGGTAAGGAACATCTCTTCCCTTAGACAAGAATGAAACTCGCGTACTGTCATACGGACTGAAACACTCAGTTACACCGAAACAGGCACCGACCGAGGCTATTGTACCTACTGTTGAGGCGGCTCTGGCTCGGTAACGAGAGCTATTTGAGTCTATTAATTATAAGGATAACAACAGAAGTAGAATTACTTCCACTATACAATCATTGTCACTACATGGCAGCAAATTGAGTAAAGCCGAACAACATACCCTTAAACGACTGAAAAACGACGAGAACATAGTTATTCTACCAGCCGACAAACGACGAGTTACTGTTGTCATGGACAAGACTGTCTATCACTACAAAATGGACGCACTAGTTAACGACAAACAAACCTACAAAGAGCTCAAACGTGACCCAACTCCTGCGCTTCAACGCAAACTCAACAGCACATTACTGACGCTCAAGAAGACAAACGCCATTGACACCCAACGCTACTA